TGGCCTGGGGCCTCGAATCTGCGCAGGTCAAACTTCGGCCGTGGTTGAAGCAAAACTAGCATTGGCACTCATCATCCAACGCTATTCTTTCAGGATGTCACCAACATATGTTCATGGCCCAATGCTGTTTTTAACTTTACAGCCCCAGTACGGCGCTCAGATCATTTTCACGAAGATTGCAAATTGAAAATTTTGGAGGTTTTCCGATGACAAAATTTGGAGAATGGATGCTAATCATGCTAATGAAAATTTTGGAGGTTTTTCGACGATAAAACTTGGCACAAAACCGAGTATAGTAACGTTTTAAGATTTATATAGCCGATTCCACTTAGTTAAATAAGATTTTGTTGTTGATGCTAATGAATAAGCTTGACTATGAACATTGACCAGTATTGTTTCCGGATGCTCAAAAACTGTATGTTTCAATATATGTAGACCTTTTTTTTATTAAATCATACTAATTTATGCAATAAAATTTTGGAATGCAATTTATGTCCTTCAGAGTTACTTGCAAATCAATAATTTATTATGAGGAAAACTAATGAAAAGAGTTTGAAAACTTTGAGTTTTAACGATAAGGACAAAATAAAGGGTAAAATGAATAATACTAGGTTCGACTATTTAGTGTAAAAATGTGATTTTTCGTTAAAGTGAACAGTACCACGGGCTTTTCGTTAAAACTCTCTTTATTATATTCTTTCAACTTGGCTTCTTGATTTTCATTTTGGTTATGAGTTCCATTTAAAACATGTCAATTTGCCGTTCTAATTTGTTGAGCAATTTTTTGGTGTATCGAGATTTACCACAGCTACGTAGACTTATTATTCCACTTAAATTACATACATTAAATTTGTGCAGCAAGTTTGTGCACAAAATAATGTGGCACATTCTACACCATATAAATTTTTATTCCAATTATCAATTGTGCAATACATATAAGTGAATTTTTCTTTCTACAAACTCGTTTCATAAGTATTGAATTAGAATGCGTAACTCTCTAATTTAAAGACATATTGGAGATAAAAGTAAATGCATTTTAATTTGGAGATGGCTGAGATGATAGTCATTGATCCTATGAATTTTTCGATAGTTTAATGTTTGGCATGCAATTTCAAACCATTGTAGTTTGCAGATTTTGATGGTCACAAGTTCCTGGGAGATTTGTTGTAGAAGCAGAGTGCTTGAGAATTATGTCCATTAATACTCAATCTTGTTTGATACAAACCACAATGGGAAAAGGAGAATCGAATACAGAACTTTAAATACAAAGTAAATTAATATTCTTAATTACTTAAATTATATATATATATATATATAAATATAACCGTTCAAGCATAACGAAAAAAATATGTGTAAGAACATACTATAAATAATATAGAGATTAACAGAATTGTTCAAGCATATCGAAATATAAAAAAACTAGCGTTACACGTGAGAACGTAGGATTTCTGGAGATATATCTGATTGCTTGTGGGGTGGCGGCATCGCCGCCTCCACCGCCTCACACACCGTCGAACACCGTGGTGTCTACGGCCTTGTCTATTCAGAGCTCAGGTAACCCTATTTAATAAGGTCAATAAATGTGGGTTTATCATTACGATATGATGAATAATATGAGCATGCCACATCGCCTACGTGTGTCAAATGCTAAGCTTGGGAGTGCGTTTCGGGTAGGTAACATGATTGTTCCAGTCCTTTCAACAAAATTCTTCTAAATCTCTTTCATTAAAAAGAAACTACCATGGTTTGTCGAGAGCAATCAAAATCAATGCAAGGGCAGCCACACCGCGAGTAATTGACCTAACCTATGTATATGGGTCTTCGTCTAATTACATAAGTCTTAAATACATAGGTTTGATTAGTATTCTAGAGAGGGGGTTCCATTTTCGTCTTTAGCTTGCCCGTTTATTAAGTGGTTTAGAACATTTACTCAAAAAATCTTAGGTTGGATTGTTTCTCAAATTATCGTATATTAAACAATAAAAATAGTAGTAGTGAAGGCCGAGGCGGTGGTATTTTATGGCTGGGTTTTTGTCTCTACCTCGATGTCGTTCTCGCGTGGGTGAGTAAGTTTTTGGAAAGTTGCAACTTTCACAGTAGTAAGGGTACGGAGGATGGAGAGAGAGAGAGAGAGAGAGAGAGAGAGAGAGAGAGTGTGTGTGTGTGTGTGTGTAGTTGTCCCACGCGACAGGAAAAAGGGGTGGATCGACGATTGAAATGGGAGCTCAGGAATCGACGTAATTAGGGTTCAAAAAAATAAAATTAAAAAAAATGGAAAAAAAGTTGGAGGAGAAAGGACGCTATTATTGCCTCCATCCCCCTTCTCCTTTTGCATGTAAAGCACAAAGCTTTCAAAGTTTTTAGGTTGTTTCCAATGAGAAAGACTTGGGTAAAAATTTTAAACAAATTATGCTTTATTCATGACTGCGCCACTTTCTTGCATTCTGCTTTTCATATTTCTGAAAATATAACCCAGAATTTTAAACAAATTATGCTTTATTCATGATTGCGCCACTTTCTTGCGCTCTGCTTTTTATATTTCTGAAAATATAACCCAAAATTTTAAACAAATTATGCTTTATTCATGATTGCGCCACTTTCTTGTATTGTATACCCTTTGGAATTCAATTTTCTTTAACTAAAATCCATCATGGTAAATTTTTCTAACAAAAACCCAATGACTAGGCTCCAACTAAGCAATATCCATAATTAAGTTTAACTTGGCAAAATTTGTATTTTTGGATGTCTAAATTACCCCTAATAACACTTACTTTGGGTTTCTCACTTATTATCTACATTTATTTTACATTATTTCATTCATTAAATTAGTATATCCTACAAATACAAAAAGTTATTTTACTTTACTCAAAATTATCAATATTTTAAATATAACATAGGTAAATTATTTTGCACAACATAGATACAATAACAATATAAGTTCCTAGTAAATTATGTAATGATACATGCAAAATAATTTACCTACAAAATAAATAAATATTTTTATTTAAATAAATGAATGTTTTTATTTTTTTACTTGCCAAATAAATAAATGTTTTTAGCCAATTGATTCAAAATTAATTAATTACATATTATTTTACATAAAAATATAGATAAATTATTTGCATGCATATATATAATTTTAACAAAATGTGCCTGATACATACATGCAAAATAATTTACCTACAATGATTGTCAAACAAATAAAAGAAATGAAACATATGATGGTAAGAGAAGTATAAAGTAGATAATTTTATAATAATAAGGCACTTATTTCCCACAATTATGGTGGATAGTTAAATTCATTAACATAATTAGTGTTGTGGCATAATTGTAAATAGTTTGAAAATAATAGGTATTTATTTGTTTACATGACAGTCTACTTCAAATTTGGGTTTTATTTAGATATTTAAAATGAGATGAGTTTTTGTCAAGAAAATAAAGGTTGCATGGGCTTATATCTAAAAAACCCTTGTTTTTATGCCTAGCAGCTCTTTTTTTTTTTTTTTTTTCTATTTTTTTCCTACCTCATTTCTCATATATTTGTCACTATTTCATACTATCTTACCTTATTTTATTTCAATTTTTCACATTCCATATTATAACCCTTTTGCCCTTGGTTGGAGACGGTTTTTTGTGACAGGGTTAAAACGAGTCATTTGGCTCTCAGTTGGAGATGGTAAGGAATATAGTCTTATTAAAATATTAATTTTTTGAAAAGCTAAAGGGCTAAAACAAGCCCTCTTACCAAACTTCGGTTAGAGATGATCTAACATACTGAGCTAAACATGAATACAAAGATATATAGTAGTTCACTCATAAACGGAACTACACCGTCCTTAGAACACCGTGGTCTGCCAGGCACTCTGGTCGACGGTCGTCTAGCGGACCACATCCATGTGGAGAAAACCAGGTCGGCCTGGAGTGCTCAGTTGTCTTCTCGGCTCGGCCCTGTGCGTTCTCTGTATGTCCAGCAGGTTTCTTTTCTTCTTCGCCCGGCGTCCGGACAATCATCCCTCTGGGGTCTCATAAGTCACAAGAGTGGCAGAGAGCTTTTTAAAGGAATGAGGGGCCCAAGTCCTTGACTATTCCATATATGCCTTTACCTCCGTCATCTTTCATTTTGCAGCGGCATACCATTCTTATATAATAATCCTTCAAATATCAAAACTCATTTGTCTGCCATCCCTGAGAAAAGGTGTACCTTTTCCCATTTTCCTTCATATTCGGGGTAAGGTTCTCTTCCCTTTAATTATCATCCATTTTTATCTCTTTCTCTCATATTTTTTTTTTAATCTTATTCTTTATATAAAAAATTCAAAACAAGATATAAACATGATGTAATTGTAACCGTTTAAATAATAAAAGATAGAAGGGAGAAAACCTTACTCATTTTCCTTCTCTCTAATCTCTATAAGACGGCAACCAAGGCCCACCAAACTCTTCTTACATTTTATCGGTGTTACGCCCTTTTTTCAGCCGCATGGCCTCGCCTCCTCGCCTTCCCCAAAACCCGACGGTTGTGCTTGTTTTATTACGAGATTAATTAATAGTCTTGCTGTGTAAAATAAAACTAAAAATAACCTAAAGTCTTGTTAGTAGGTTTACTGGTTGTCGTATATCCAACAACTAAATAAAATATGAAGATGAAAGGAACATTATATTTCTTAACTGGACTAATACACCAAAGCGTGAAATTTTTAAGTAAAATTTTATTTAAATCCATGTAATATCTTTCTACATTCAAATTACTTTTTGCATCAATTTGATTTTTAAATAAACTATCAGCATCTCTTAAAACTCAAATTTATTATCTAAAATATCCCCACAAATCCAATTCAATATGTGGATTTATCTTTACACACATTTAATTTTTAACTCTATTAATGACAATAATCAAACTGGAGGGTGTGTGGACATAGGACATCTAGGGGTGAACATAAAAACCACAAAACCGCATCGAACCGTATGAAGAAAAAAAAAATTTCGAAAAGAACCATGTTGATCGGAAAAGTCAACTTTAAGTCAAAAACCAGTTCCGATTCCAGTTTCGAATAAACAAGAACCGGCTGGAACCAAACCGTTTTATTAATAGTAAATAAATAAATTATATATACACATATGATATAATAGGTTGAAAAATTAGTTTCACCAAATTGCAAATCAGTGGATTCCATCCCAATTGGAACTCACTCACCTCACCCTCACCTCACTCACGGCCTCTCATGATCTATCTTCCTTGTCGACGCTCTCTGTTGATTTCTTCGTTAATGGAGAAACGTCCTCACCTTTGAAGAGAGAGAGAGAGAGCAATTAAGGCAAATTCTTGTAGGAAAAAAACCCATTTATCCATTTCATCAGCCGCTGCTTTTGCAATCACACCAAAAACACTTCTCCACGGAAGCTGCTTTCTGCTGATTTCAGCTCTCCGTTACTGTTTCTTCAGAGGTAAAGATTTTCTCTCTCTCTCTAAAATCCACTGTATTTCTTTGGCTCTTTTTTCTTGGTGAGAATTGGAGTTTTCGAGTTGGGTTGATTTCTATCACTTCATGGTTGGATTGTTCCAGTTTTTTTATTGTCTTGGCAAAATTTATGTCTTTAGAGTTATAAATTAAATTTTAAAGTAAGTTTAATTAGTTGATTAATGGCCTTCTTTCTTTAAATATCAACTTCTGTTTTCTGAAAATCCCAGCCACACATGGAGTCCAGCCAGAAGAAGCCGCATGTGGCAGTCCTAGCAAGCCCAGGGATTGGCCACGTTACCCCACTCCTCGAGCTAGCCAAACGACTCGTCGTTGACCACGGCTTCCATGTCACCTTCCTTTCCATCATCACCGACGCACCACCCGCACAGCTCCAGCTCCTCAGCAACCCCTCTCTCCCTTCCGACCTCCATGTCGTCAGCCTCCCCCGCGTCGACGTGTCCCAACAACCCATCGGTATCTCAGTTCGCATCTTTCTCGTCGTCCAAGAAACCCTAAAGTCGCTGCCATTTGTCCTGAAAAACTTACAACCTCCGATCAAATCTCTCGTTGTCGATCCTTTCTGCATCGAAGCACTCGAAATCACCGCTGACCTCTCCATCCCCACTTATGTTTTCATGACGTCTTCCGCTTCGCTTCTGGCGTTCACCATGTACTTCCCCACCATCAACGCCGAGGTCAACGGCGACTATTCCAAAATCGCCGAGGAGGTTATTGTTCCAGGCTGCAAGCCCCTATTGCTTGACGATCTTGTCCCCGGAGTTTTGTTGCCAGAAGTATTACCTATGTGCAACAGATTTCCGACCGTGAAGGGCATTTTAGTAAATACGTGGGAAGAACTCGAGCCGGTGACACTTCTTAGCCTTAGAGAAAACCCTTTCTTTCTTGGTCTGCCAGCGCCGCCGGTTTATCCCATTGGACCGTTGACCAAAGAGGACAAACCGGTAACATCAACATTGGAATCTTCGAAGTTTCTGACGTGGCTGGACGAGCAGCCAATCGGTTCGGTTGTTTACGTCTCATTCGGTAGCGGAGGGACTTTGTCGAGGGAACAGATGAGTGAGTTGGCGTGGGGATTGGAGCTGAGCCAAAAGCGGTTTGTTTGGGTGGCGCGGCCTCCAAACGACTCGAGCGCGTCGGGGAGTTTTTTTAAGGCGGGTTTCAACACGGACTATCCGGCGTCCTATTTGCCGGAAGGGTTTTTGGATAGGACGCGAGGGAGAGGATTGGTGACACCTTCGTGGGCCCCTCAAGTCGCAGTTCTGAGCCATCGGTCTGTGGCTGGGTTTGTGACGCACTGCGGTTGGAATTCGGTGTTGGAGAGCGTATTGCATGGGGTGCCGATGATTGCGTGGCCGCTGTACGCCGAGCAGAGGATGAATACGAGGTTTTTGGTGGATGTGGGAGTTGCGGTGTGGCCGGAGGCGGAGGAGGATGATGGGAAGAAAGTGGTGGGGCGTTGCGAGGTGGAGAGGGCGGTGAGGACAATTTTGGAGGAGGAAGGAGAAGGGGTGAGGAGGAGGGTGAGGGAGCTTCAAGGCACTGCCGTGAAAGCTTTGGAAGTCGATGGGTCATCTAGTGGATCCCTCGAGGGACTGGCGAAGGAGTGGCGGGAGGCTAAGTTCTTCGATTAGTTTGATGTGTGTTAAAATTTAAAGATCTATTGACAAAAAAATAAAAAATAAAAAAAATAAAAAATATTTAACGATCTAAAACTTATCAATTGTGATTGACAGATTAAGATTTAAATTGTTGTCGTTAGATTGATATAATAGTTCGGTTGAGCGAAATGTTGATAAATGTAGAAAATTCAAATTTAAAAGATTGAGATCCATTGTATTGCTTAATGCATGCATAAGTGCAAAAAGTTTATAATCCAACAAAAGGAGTGTCACAGCCTATAACACAAATAAGTGTTGAACTTTAGTTACTCTTCATAACACACTAGAATAAGGATAATACTTGCAATTCCCACATGGGACATATTCTACCATTATTGAATAAGTATCTTCACTGTCTAAATTTCATAATCAGAACTATTTAATTTATTAATTTTTATTTGAATATCATCAGTAAGGAGTCATTCGAATCAAATATCGTTTAGTTTTCCAAATTTATAGAACAAATTGACAATGTGATTATCAGGTAATATATTCATGATGAACTGTCAATTTATTTGATACATTTGGATGACTAAATGATCTCCGAATCGAATATTTTTTTTAAAAAATGATCTTTAAATGAAGTTTATAAATTGAATAATTTCGATTATGTAGTTTATATTATAAAAATACATTATTCAAGGATAGTGAAATATGATCACTCTCCTGTGTGAAGAACGCAAGTATGGAAAGATTCTACCTATTATATGACCATAAAAAGGTTATTGTCGCATGTTAAAAAATGAAGCCCAATAACTAAAATATGGATCTACTGCGATCTCCTACTCATCTGAAAAGCCCGTCCACGAAACTCCCCAAAAAAAAAAGAGAAAAAGAGTTTCGGTGGCACACGAATCAATATAACAAGCTGACTGGTGGATACTGACGTATGGTGGTATGGGTTCCACAAGACAACGGTTTCCCGCGGAAACGGCAGCGTTTTGATACGACTAAGAAGTTTTCCTCTGGTTCTCGCTCTCTCGCTCGGGCTCTGCATCTCCATGGACTCGAAAGCTTCAACAACCCCGGCTCCATTACTGAACCAGCAAAACCGAATCAATCCACCGTCGAAGCCGAAGCAGAAGGACTTCCTGAACCACCTCGAAGCCTACCTCGCGAAGCGAGATGGCGTCGACAAGCTCCTTAAGATATCCCGGTACGCCACCAAGATCGTCCTCGCCTCCTCCGCCCTCCCCGAAACCCTCCCCCTAACGCAGCGGCTCAAGAGCTTCGAGTCGAGCGTCGGCGTCAGCCGCAAGGCCTTCCGGTTAGGTAAGTTCGTCCAGGACGTCAACGCTCTGAGGAGCTCGAAATTCGATTCGAATCAGGAGCTCGTACTCGCACTAATCGCCTACGTCGGCGAGGGATTGTACTTTTTCGTTGAGCAGTTCGTCTGGCTAGTCAAGACGGGGTTGATCGATAAGAAGCACTCGCGGAATTTGCAGAAGATCAGCGCCTGGGCCGAGTTCATCGGATACGCGGGCAGCATCTCGTTGAAATTTAGGGATTTGAGTCGGATTTCGGAGGACGAAAAGTGTGTAAAATCGAGCATTGAGATCGCGATTATGAGGGGGAACGGGTGCGAGGAAGAGAAGGAGAAGTTGAGTAAATTGCGTGAGAAGAAAATGATGAAGAGGTTGTCAGTGGTTCAAGATTCGGCGGACGCGTTAATGGCTTTGGCGGATATCCGGGAGGGCGGCGGACCGTTCTTGGGGCCTCTTTCGATATCGCTGGCCGGGATGTTATCGGCTCTGATTAGCACTCACAAGAATTGGGTGTCTTGCTGAGATTCATGGCCTTTTTACAAGGTATGGTTGCTTGACACTTTCTTTGTTAGTTTGTGCTGCAAATTGTAAGAGAATAAAATGTATGCAGATTGACACAGGCAATGGTTCAATAAGAATTCATTTTATAGCACATTCTGAATTCGTTAGCTCGTGAGTGCGAAAACTGAATTCTTTAGCTCGATAGTGATTTTCGCAGGCCTTTTTTCTGAAAGATGAAAAATCAAATGAAGTGATGAACAACTTATTAGTAATGACTAACGTGAAGAACTTCAACGGATCGAAAACTCGTTGCTTGGTATCTTAACATTTGTTTGATGAATGCCAATAATGATGTTAACATTTCAAATTCGACATTTTCATTTTCCTTGAACATGACATGTTGAGTATTTTGGAGCAATATAGCCGAAAACATTTGTCCAAGAATCTGACTTTCGTAGGTCAAATCCGACTTTGATGCTGCTTGAAGTGCAACCGGAATTCATCCCCGACGATTCATCTTGTTCATGCCCTGTTAAATCCGAAGTCTATGATTGCTTGCCTTTCGTTTCACATAGTTACTACTGATTACCAGTTACACTGCTCATATAGAATTGTTCTTTGATCTTTTTAAACTTGAATTTTCTTTGACATCTGATGAATGCAGTTCTTTCAAGAATACGGAAAATTGGTTTTACTGATGAGTTCAACCATCTCTCTAGGCCGATCCATCCATGGTTCGAGTTGTCACTCCCGCAGTCATTTCTATCTGCAACTTTGCGGTTTCTCGTTGTATGCCAGTCGTGTGATGACAGAAACTGGATAGACGTTTAAGCTGTGAGCTTATTCGCAGACGTTTATGTTGAATATGTTAGGGTTCTCCATTTCCATTAACGTTTCAACTTTAGTGGCATTTTTCTGCGCCAAACCTATGTAGAGTTTATATGGTTTGTTCTGGAAAGCTGCGTTTGGTTGGTGAAAAAAGTGTTCGGGAATGGTAAACTTTTTTGTTTGGCGAACCGAACTCCGTTCTGGTTACGTTTTTTGCCTTGCTAGTATTTAGAGCTGGATTGCTTCATCGGTTTTTTGCCTTCTGGAGATGTTATGTTTTCCGCTAGTATTTATGGACCTAATAAATGGTCAAATTGCTCCCAAATAGAAAAATACGAGCGGAATTGGACCTTTTTTTCTATTTTTATGCATGACCATTTATTTCAGGACATTTATGGACCTAATAAATGGTCAAATTGCTCCCAAACAACTTATAAACAATTTTCTTGTTGTGTACGCAAAATACCTTGTGAGAACTCAACAATCTCATTTTTTACAGAAATCGTGGTCTATAACCCACGCGTAATAATGCATACTCTGCTCTGAGTCTCTGACTACATTTTGATTCACTTATATATAAAATCATGTAAGTTTATATAAAGGAAAACTAATGAAAATGATTTGAAAACTTTGAGTTTTAATGATAAAGACAAAATAAAGAGTAAAGTGAATAGTATCAGTATTGACTTTTTAGTGTAAAAATATAATTTTTTGTTAAAGTGAAACAGTACCGTGAGTTTTTCGTTAAAAATATCTTTATCTAATGGGAGACTACTGAATATTTAGGATTAAGCTTTAATTGCTAACATGACTTTGGTACGGAAGGACCCAAAAGTTGGCCTAAAATCTACTTTCGTGGCGTTTTTGTCAATCATCGACTAATGGGCCATTTGGCCCAACAAGGAGGGAGTCCAAATCATATCACGACAATGACACTATCCACTTGGCTGGCATCATCGATTCATCATCGGACACACCACAATTCGCCAACATTTCCGTTCCTTCTCGGATTCTAAATACTCTTCCGTATGTCCGACTCTTCTTCCCGGTGCCATTTTTATTTCTTTCTTTCTCAGGTGATTAATAATTAATTAATCAATAAAAAATAAGAGAGGAATTTGGACGTGCTGCAACCAGCAAGCTCTCACCCCCCGCGCAACCACAATCTTCCCGCCGGTCCACATTACTCATCTTTCCCAGATCTACACACTCCAATACGCCATCGTTTCGATGGCCGTTCACTAAAACCCCGCCAGGCTCCGACTCCCCCCCATTTACTTCTTTTTGCTAATGGAGTCCGAACTCAAAGACCTCAATTCCCATCCTGCCAAGCCGGACCGCGACGACGGTCCGGCGCCCAAGGACGATCGACCGCTCCTCAAATCCGACACGAACTCCTCGGTCTCCGCCGAGGAGCTCCAGGAGCTTGAGAAGAAATGCGCGGCGTACGTGCGACGCGATGTGTACGGCACCATGGGACGCGGCGGATTGCCGGTGAAGGAGAAGGTGCTGCTGGGGCTCGCGCTGGTGACTCTGGTTCCGATACGGGTGGTGCTGGCCACGACGGTGTTGGTGCTGTACTACTTGATTTGCCGGATTTGCACGCTCTTCAAAGTCCCCAATCGCGATGAGCAGGAGCAGGAGGATTACGCGCACATGGGCGGATGGCGGCGGGCGGTGATTGTCCAGTGCGGCCGCGCCTTATCCAGAGTTATGCTCGTCGTCTTCGGCTTCTATTGGATCAGCGAAATCTATCGAATATCATCGGATTCCGACCCCAAACCCGCCGCCCAGGTACTCTCTCTCACCGTTTCTCTCTCTAAAGCATGAAAATTAATTTCGTGAGATTTTGAGTGGTAAATTTTGATGTTAAATTTTTGGTTAGGGAAAAGATGGGGCCGAAGAGAAGGAGCCCGAAAGGCCAGGGGCGATTATATCGAATCACGTTTCGTATTTGGATATCTTGTATCACATGTCTAATTCGTTTCCGAGCTTCGTTGCCAAGGTTTGCCACTCTCTTCACTTGTTCTTACTAATTTTATCGCACTGGGATGTGAATTTTGATTGAAAGATGTTCCCTTTTTATCTGTCTCGACCTATTATCTATGTATTGATTCCCATTTTTTGTTATCCTGGATTTTGTCGGTGAAGAGATCGGTGGCAAAACTTCCTCTAGTAGGCCTCATCAGGTTGGTTGCATTCACTTTCGCTTCCTTTAATTTCATCATGTTTCTGAAAATCTGTAGTTTATCTGTCACCATAGTATTCCGTCAATTCATTTTTCGGATCGTTAATTTTGACAGCAAGTGCCTGGGTTGTGTCTATGTTCAGCGGGAGTCAAAGTCATCAGACTTCAAGGGAGTTGCAGGTAAATAAATTATGGGTGTTCCCTGCTTTTGCTAGTTTTGTAGACACTCGTAATGTGTACACCGTAACTCATGTGTTATTGGTGGTATCTAAGTTGAAAACTTTGATCGATCACAAGTGGATTATATAACGAGTTTTCGATTGTATTACTTATATAGCAATGTTGGTTGATCAATAAATGGATGTCATGTGCAGGTGCCGTGACTGAAAGAGTTAAAGAAGCACATCAGAATAAATCTGCCCCACCAATAATGCTTTTCCCAGGTTATAGTTTTAAACACTCTATTCTAAGAAAGCCCAATTGGAGTTTTCAGCTGTCCTTCGACTCGTATTTACCAATTTAATGTTATCTTGATTGAGGCTTTCTGGCAGCATATGTAATTAAATGATATTGGTGATGCTTATAGCTTTGCATTTGTTTTCCATCCATACTGAAAACTGCTCTGCGATTCATTTTTTAGCAGACGTGCATTATGTTGTCAGTCATGCTTATACTACTGTTGTTATTTATTTATCTTAAATCTTTCTACAGAGGGCACTACTACAAACGGAGACTTTCTTCTGCCATTCAAGACGGGAGCATTTCTAGCAAAATCTCCGGTTCTTCCGGTGATTCTTAGGTATCCTTACCACAGATTTAGTCCTGCATGGGACTCGATATCTGGGGTGAGTGTTTCTTAAACAATTTCCATGAACACGTAGAGAGAAAATGCATTATACATAATACAAATCATAAGGATTCAATATCAGGCATATAGACTGTTTTCCTTTCAATCTTCCGGGCTTCTAATTTTAGTTACCTTATTTACTTTATTTCCAGGTGCGCCATGTGATATTTCTCCTCTGTCAATTTGTAAATCACATAGAGGTCACAAGGTTACCTGTTTATTACCCCTCACAAGAAGAAAAGGATGATCCAAAACTCTATGCTAGTAACGTCAGAAGAATGATGGCCAGTGAGGTATATGTTTCCCCTTGAAAGTATATTACGAAACCAAGTTTACATCCTTTTCTCGCTTGAGAGCGTGACCAACTCGGTAGATATTAATCATGCGACCTCCTGGTGTTTGTAACTTGATTCCATCTATGTTTCTGTTTTATTTACAGGGCAACATGGCTCTAGCAGATATTGGACTTGCTGAGAAGCGGGTGTATCATGCTGCTCTTAATGGTAATAATAGCCATCCTAGTGTTTTGCATCAGAAAGACGATTGATAAATTTCAGGGCCTCGCTCCCAAATGATATCTCGTCGCTGTTGAGTTTCCTAGTTTTCGTTCATGATTGCACAAGCCACAGTGAGGGGTGGTCGTCATCATTATTGATGTGCCATGGTGTGCAATTATTAACTTGTAATACCATGCTTATGGAAACCGTGGCCTTTAACGCTAAAGCATCGAAATATTTGTATTTTCACCATGTTAAAATGCATTACAACCCCTATCGAAGAAACTTTGCGCCTGTTGATCTGAAGCCTCTCTTTCATGTTCATGCAGGTTTGTTTTCCCAATGCTAATTCGGACCGTCATCTGTATATTCATGTATGATTCTATTTGTTGTAGGGAAATATTAAAATTGATGTGGAATGCTGAAGAATTATTTTTGGTCGGGTAAGTTGAAACGGTATTTTTACGATGCATGCTGTTGTGGATTTAAGCTGGCATTCCCAAAGCAGGCGTTTTCCGGTGGCTCTACGTTCTCGCAGTTAATGGAGGAGGGAATGGGTTCGCGGAAGTCGATTTATCTCGACGAGCTGGGCTGGTACATGTATTTGCTGGGATTTTGTTTCACCAGTATAAAGCTCTGATCTTGGTAGAGCCTAATAGTGCTAACGTGTGATGATGTATCTCAATCTGATCCTTTCTAGTGCAAAATTAACAAAGATAGATTTTACTCTGAACCCTCTCTCTCTCTCTCTCTCTCTCCCACTTCGAATCGATTATAAACTTTTTTTTTCCTTTGCGGTGAATAAATTAAGATAAAGGATCTAATTGAAAATCGATAGAAGTGGCGCCATAAAAATCAATTCGCGCGGTTTTCGCGAAAAAGAAAACATATTGAAAAGAGTAGATGAACTGATTTAGCAATTTCTTCATGCAAACTTACAGTTACAACGGTCATAAACATCAGTCAACAAACCTGGGAGAACACAAACAATCTGAGTGACGGCAGCCTTCAATTACTGACGCTCGCAAAAAACTCTCGCAACAAGTTCGAAATTCCCCTAATTGCTAGGTCATCAAACTAGATTCAAATTACATTTGGGGGCGTAAGAGCAAGTCTTCCAAACACTTTCTCACCTTTCTTTCAACGAACCATTCAACGACCTTCGCAATTCCCATGGCGGTAAGCAGCCTTTCAGGGGCGACTGCAGAAATAACGAAGATGATGATAATTGCTTCTGCCTCATCGAGATGGAAGACAGGCAACTGAAGGTGCTTCTCAAGCTCCTCTTCTCGCTGTCGTATGGTTGGCGGTTTGGGTCGTGTTGTACAGCAGAAATCTTCAGAGATTCCGGAAGTACGCAGTTGCATACTGAACCTACCACATATCAATTACATGGAACAGAGTTAATTTACCTTTGCAAACCATTGCTTTTTCCACCATTCATTATAAATTTGAATCTTGATTCGATCCCGGGTAAGACCTTAAAACATGCACGACTTAAGCCGTTCTCTTAGGACGATACTTATTATCAGAATAATGACTCTAATCATTTACAAACTACTAAAGAAACTTAATTGCAACCAAAACAAGTATTCTAGCAAAGAACCGGGACAATTAGTCATTTACCTGGAACATGTTTGAAGGGTTCTAAAAGTTCGAATGTCTATATATCTCTCGCTAACACAGCAAGCTTATACATGCCATTGAAAGCAAAGGTAAAGGAAATCTCTCTGACTGAAGGTACACCCTATGTTTATGAAGTACTCAAGTAATCCTATCAAAAGTCATACCGGTGATACCATATAACACTGTTTTATGGGGCAGGCAGAGACAACAAATAAAGGACTATGAAACTAGCAACCCTTAAAAGAGTGGGTGAAAAGAGGATACCTATTCTTGCCAGTCGATTCACCCATTTAGGAATTGATTTTCCAGTGAGCTTGCGACAAATATCCCTGCAGAAATGGTTGCAGTTCTTGACAATCAGGTGATATGTATCACCATTATAGCTCAAAGACTGGCGCTCCATAAACTCTCGAACCTGAGTAGGGTCCAAGCATGTTGTTCCGATTAAAATAGACTTCCTGAACTTGAACCCTGGGCATTGGCGAGGTTCAACTTCAAAAACGCCACTTGTAGGGTAGTCATGTGCTCCGAATGCATATTCTACACCATGAACTGCATAATGAAAATGGACTATCATAAACCCTGAACTTCACTTGATCGAAACAACGTAGAACGAAGAATAACAAGTTTATAGTAATTTGATAATCTATTGCGCCAAAACTAGATAGAATTGAGCAAAACAAGAAGACATACAACATGTAAAATCCCCAACAAACAAAAACACGGTTCAGCTTAAGTTTAGGCGGATAATATGAAACGCAGACTGCCTAAACAGAAGATAACCTTACCTTCAACACCAGAGTGAAAAATTCCAAAGCCTGCCCAATAGACATAGCCATTCATGGGAGTCAAATCATATACATTGAGATAAACTGGTGCTTTTCCTAATTCAGCGCTATCGGACTTTGATTTGGGAAATATACAAAAACGTCCCGCTGATTTGGTTTTCAATTGAAGCGGGGAAATGGATCTCCATCTCTTTAACTCAAATTTCATGTTTCCTTAATAAGTATAACCAGAATGCACTCAATGCTTGCCTCCGGCCTGTGAATTTGGGTAAACATAAAAGCCATTAGAGGTTAGACCCAAAGGGATGAAATGCAGTGGCATTAAAAACAAAAGCTCAACACAAACTACATATGTACAAATACATCGTCTTTCTTACCACAAAAGCGATATTTTAAACTACTCTAATCTGCGCGAATTGCAACTACTTCGTTGACCAGAGTTGCAGCATTATATTCAACAGGCTCCAGTGCAGATCTCAGAGTATACAGTCAGATCTCGTTTCAACTAGTGGAGAGGAAGCAGAGAAATTCGTAACCAAAACTAACAAATAAATAAGCTTTTTATTTTAAAAACTGTGTAAGAAATGTTCAATGTCAGTAGAAAAAAGTGAAATTTTACAGCAGCCATTTTCAAAACTCAGTGAATCATAATTCCCACTTGTTTGTTCGTTTTCCCGAGTTCTCTCAGCTACCATACAGGACCCAGAAGATAAATTCGAGCCCCAGACGAAATTATTGAAGAAAAAAACTGGAAGGAATTGAAGTTCTTTAACTGTGGAACTCACCGATTCGCAGAGGAGAGCCATTGGAGTCCAGCAAAACCCAACCTCCTTGAACTCTAAACAGCTGCGTTTCTGTATTTCCAGAGCTCAGAAATGCCAACAGCCGCTGTTAAATGGAAGGTTTTTGTATTCTGCTGGAACCTACTCTGTATTTTTCAATTCTAAATTCGCAAAAAAAGAGGAAAATACGAAACAAGAGAGAGAGAGAGAGAGAGAGAGAGAGAGAGAGAGAGGGTGAAATTGCCGAAAAATGGAAATTGAAGTGTTGGAGTCGGAGGCCAGAGTATTTTGGGAAAAGTATGTGTTTTTGAGTGAAAGAAAGTGGTCACCTTTTTATTACGGGATATAACTAATTCACGTTTTATAATATCAAAAACGACAAATTTTAGTTGATGTTTAATTTAAACAAGACGATTGTCTAAATTATGACAAAAAGAATTTGAATTTTTATTCAAGCGGCATTGACCAACTAGTCACCAATCCTCCTCGTTTGCAATTCTAGTCTACGTTTGATAACAAAGTACGTTATTTAATACATAATTAACCTTAACATAAACACATTTTCAAAATACAAAATATTAATCATTATATTTCAGTATTTGACAACGAGTTCCACATCAAGAAAAATTAGAAAAAAAAATGAAATTTTCATATTGGATCGAATTTTAATGGACATTCATAGTACCCTTCTTCAACGGATTGGTGAGTCGTCGTTTTCTCCTTGTATTTTCTTGTGGGATATGATTGGTCATCATTTGGTTAAAGAGTTTAATTAACTCCGAAAGCTAAAATTACATATATGAAAAAAAAATAACTTAGTGTAATATTTTTTTTCCTTTTTACCTGATAAAAAAAAATTGGATGTTGAGGAGTCAACATCAACATGTTACATGTAGCAATTATTAATTGTTTTTTTATATTCAGCCAAAGAGAGAGACAATTTGGTCAATGTGACTTTTGAGTAATAAGCTTAAAGGAAAAACAAAATTAGAAAAGAAACAATAACACAAGACAAACCCGTGAGAAAATTTTTAGTGTGTTAGGAACACTGGTTTGGTACACAAATGTCTTAATACAATTGGTTGGAAAATTGAAAAATAAAATTTTCAACCACTTGTATTATTACACTTAGTGTATCGGATCATGTTCACAGCATACTGAAAAATCTCTCCAAACCCATAAATTAAACCACATGTGAAATGAGGAAATGTGTTTAAGTTTATACTAAACTCCATGATTAGAAAATAAAATAATACTTCTTTTAAGAAAGCTACTTGCTTTATTTGTGAAAAGAATAGATGATTTAATCCAAGAACAAAGAGAGCAATGATTGTGGGGTTTAGCTCTTGAATCGATTGAAGTTGAAAATTGAATAATAAATTTTTAAAATTATGATTATGGCCAAAAAGAAAAAAAAATTTAAACTAGGTAGCGACTGGCGATTACATTAAATTTGAAGATTGATGATAGCGAAGTTACTTATATAGATAAACTTGACGAAAAGGACCAATAGTTCAACACAAGTGCATATTTGAGGACTAAATGGTTCAAGTACTGATATTTATGTACCAAAATCAGGAACCATTGCGATAATAAATTCTATAAATTTTCCGAGGAAAAAAAGAAACTGTAATTTTATAACTAACTGTCAGTTTAGTTATTGTAATTCTATAAATTCAAATTCCTTTCCCTTGTATCGTAGTTTTTATTAGATTAAAGTAAATTATTTCTTAAAAAAAAAAAAATTAAAGTCAATATTGAGACTTATGTAGGCCTTGAAGGGTGGACTAATCCTTTGAATCCGGTAACAAAATGTATTATCTCTTTATAACAAAGTTCTTTTCAAACCTTTCAATCAATCGATACTACTTCCGAAAACAGCCTCGTTTTAACCCAACAATTTCTTAAAAACTCGCTTCAAATATGAAATTTTAAAATATATAAACTTACTTTTGTTATTTCTAATAATGACGCTCGATAACAATTCACTTCTTTTAAAGCGTGCCCGGGTCGTTGAAGACTTGTGTGGGTGTCTAATATAATTGAAGTGCAACAGTAGTTGCCAGCTTGTTTTTATATGCACTGATTTGAAGGCTACCACGGACATCCTGGGGTTCCATCACCGTTCAACATCACTACTCATTAAATATCAGCACTCAAATATCTATATAATTAAACCAATAAACTGACCAAAAAAAATTAAATAAACCATAATTGAAGTGAAATATAAATGTCCATCATGGATATTTTCAAGTTTGAACAATCTTTTCTCATTTATAATAATATAAATCTGTTACAAATAAGAACGAACCACCAATTTAGAATTAAATTTATATCAACATAATCTCAACTATGAAGATTTTTTTTTTTTTTTTGAATAACGATATTGTTTTTATTTGTATAGAGAAATCTCACATCATCCTTTATAGCTCCGAAGACATTTATTAGTTTGATAATTATATTTTGCATTGCATTACTAATTTATGGGTTACAATATATTTCAAACGGATTTTGATATGTTTTGAATTTTAACGAGTATGTTATATCATGTGGTGGTATAATGGTCACAATAAAATCACTCATGAGTTATATCAGTGCTGTCAATTTTTTTTATATATATTTTTATTGACATTGATCTCAGTTAAATGACGGTCAAATAACACGTTAGTCTAATTCAGAATATATATATATATATATATATATTGTTGGAGTGAGATTTCTTACAAGAAGAAATACCTCCACAGATATGTTGACCGCAGTCCTCACGTTCGTCGAATCCTTCCTTGGGCGAGCCACAGAAGAGGAAGATTATTTTGGGACACCTCAAGGAAGTATTCGGCGAACATGATGATTGCAGTCAACATATCTGTGGAGGTATTTCTTCTCATAGGAAATCTCGCTCCAACAGTTGGCGCCGTCTGTGGGAACGAAAAAAATTGAGCTACAAACATGACTAGATCCGCACAAGAAGTTTTGAATCCCTCTGAAGACGCAGGGACTCGATCGATACATGCGAGGTCTCAATCCCAAGGAAGTGAACCCAGTCTCGCCATGGAACAATTTAGAAGGCTAACAAGGGAATTGCGTGAAACGAAAAAGACAGCAGATGAGGCATTGAAGAAGGCTGAAGCGAGAAACGCAGTAGAAGATGTAACCAACGCCAAGAGACAGCGTGCAGAAGAGGAAGATAAGGAGGGTAACTCTAGTAGCGCGCCATCCAGTAATCGTGTTGAAGTGACAAAAATCAGGGCGAAGGGATCACAGGGGAAAAGGATCGAAAAAGATAAAGGATGTAGATTTGCGAGAACAAATTGAGAAGATTTTGAAGGGATACAAGCCACAGACCCCAGCAGAGCTTGCCTTAGAAGCTGCTAGAGGGATTCTCAAATCGCCGTTCACAGAGGACATCCTGAAAGCTAAAAACCTTGCCAAGTTCACCCAACCAAAGTTTAGGCTATTTGAAGGCGCGACTGATCCCGTCGAACACATTTACCACTTTCAACAACAGATGACAATTGAAGGAGACGATAAAGCTCTCTTGTGCAAGTTGTTCCCTTCAAGTCTTTCGGGATCATCATTAACTTGGTTCAGGCAACTGAAACCAAGGTCTATCGGAAGTTTCATAGAGATTTGCGAATCATTCATATCTCAATATGTCTGTAATCGGAGGCCAAGAAAAGATGTTATGATCTTGTTCAGCACCAAACAAAACGTTGGCGAGAGCCTCAAAAGCTATATGACTAGGTTCACTAAAGAAACCACCCTAGAAGAATGTGATTCCCACACTGCGTCTTTGGCATTTAGAGAAGGGGTGTTACCTGGAACGAAGATGCGTAGGTCATTAATCGAAATACCACCACTGGACATGAGAGAGGTGATGACCCGAGCTGATGGAATCATCATATTAGAGGAAGAGGAACTTATCCAATCAAAGTGGGCCACAGCAACCATTGCTGCATCTTCAGCGAGCACTGATGCACCTACCTTAAAACCCACAGCTCAACCGAGGCAAGTAAGAAGATTCACGCGTGATCCGAACGATGGGTTTAATGAAAGATCTAAACTTGATCGCCCAAACACCAAGCTGATAGTGAGCCTAGGCAAGATTTTCCATGAGAACAAGGGAAAAGGAACTTTCGTGCACTAGCACTAATTCGAACGCCACTTAGAGAAGCGAGACAGGAACAAGATGTGTGCTTATCACAACGACTTTGGTTATGCCACCAATGATTGTCGAAGCCTAAGGAACTAAGTGGAAGCTATGATGAAGAAGGGGATGTTGTCACAATACCGTGTAGAATCAAGAGACGAACGCAAGAATGATGAAGGACTTAAAGCAATAACAGGAAACATCAGAGCGAATGAGAGGTTGTTGGATATCAATGTCATACATGGTGGACCCCAACCCTATGAGGGACGCGAAGCACATTATCGATCGCAAAGACTGAAGGATAACCCGAGAGAATCCAAATAAGAGAAATCAATCGACTGACTTGAGCGTCGGAGTATCTTTTACAAGTACCTCGCCCGGGCAAACCACGGAAGAGGAAGATTATTTTGGGACACCTCAAGGAAGGATTCGGCGAACGTGAGGATTGTGGTCAACATATCTATGGAGGTATTTCTTCTTGTAGGAAATCTCACTCCAACATATATATATATATATATATTTTTTTTTTTTAAGGGCATCAGTTGGTGGCATCGTCTTAGTAGTCCACCATCACAAAGGCAATTTTAGCCTCTTCCTAACTATTATTGTGCGATTAACCAATGTTAGGAATCAAACTCATAACGTATCGTGTGGAATACGGTCTGGAATTCTTCTCCAACCACTGACCACCCTGTGACGATTAGTCTAATTCAGAATTAAAGTGTTAGTTTCCTTTCTCAATATCATAATAGGTTTATCTCCAATACCTTTCTTTGATCAAAAGATTCAAAACACTCCATTAATCAAATTCCTAAAAAAGAAAAACCCATTGAACAAAAAATTTAGGATTAACTTGTTTAATTTCTGAAAACTTGTTCATGAGCGTGTAGGTCCCATGACAGTTGGCGGCCTTAATCTGTTCCGTTTACCATGTTGCGGTGTCGTTTCATCTCAATAGACGACAATCTATTGCAAAATCGAAACGCTAGAAACGACAAGCGTATTCCATGAGTATATAGCTGTCGAGTGGTACGAAACATAACATGGACACGTGCACACCGTCAAAAGTTTGGACCCCACCGGTCACCGTGCCACGTTCTTATCCAAGTTGGGCAGTACCAGTCTACAGTCGTTTTCACTTTTCAATCCAATTGCAGTGGCAAAATGGGAAATTCATCCTTTAACTCGTTAACGGGCTACAACACTGGACTTTGAATTAAACAAAATTAAAGGCCTGGCCCAATTAGGCAATTTCTTCACTCCGAGTTTTGTTTTGTTTGCTTATTCGAATGTTAGATTAAATGAATTGAATGAATTGAAGACAATCAAGAGTAGTACTATTCACATACTTTTTTTAATTTTTAACCGTTGGATTGAATGAATTGAAGACGATCACGGCCAAAAATTAAAAAGAGTGAATAACACTATCCTATTTTAATCTATATTAACCTACGAAGAGACTGGAACTTGAGTACAAAATGAGTACTTTGATCTAGTCAATTTAGCTACGGCTGATCAGCTTTTTCATATTATGAACTTTTTTTCCCTTTCTCAGATTTCGGAAGAAACATTATTTTTTGTTTTTGTATTTACAAATCAATTGTATGTAGCATTCTCTGCAATCAAAATGATATACATGAGTGTATATATTCGATTTAATTACGTGCAGTTGAATGAACAAGAACTCGACCAATCATAATCTGACACGTGGCTACAACGTAAAATTTGTCATAGGGATCCAAGTGAATTGAAATGATCCCAGGCTTCCTGCATTTGCCCAAACCAAGTAAAAAATAAATAAAAGTTACCAATTGAGTACAAAATTTCACCACAAGAACATTAGTTACCTGACCTGCAAGATGTCAAAAACCTTTGCTGCAAGATATTTGTGATGTGAAGTAGCACCTTTCTGCTGCAGCTTATCTGGGTGCAAACATAGCAGCGCCCTTTGGTACGCTCTTTTAACGGAATTTCCTTCGATTATATCTACAAGAGGTACCGTCTTCCAACCGCTCTCGGGCCAAAGAACCTGTCGTGTATCAGTTTAAACCCGAATCAGTTGCTAAACGAGTAGTTAGGCATCAGTCCCAGTGACAATGAAACGGTGAAGTATATGCCTTGAAGCATACTACTATGCAATATCCGCGGCCATTTTTGAAGATGGAGCATATTGAAAGGATAAACAAAACGAATCAGTGCTTACAGTTTGCATAGTAGTCAGCAGCGAGCGAATGTTTCCTTCCTTCCCTCTTGACCACTGTCGTATCGTAGTATCAATCGCCTGCAGTTTATGGGATAGTACATTACTGCTCTCCGGAAACTGTAACAACATGCTGTGTTTGTTTGTTATGTATTTACCTGGAATTCTTCACGATTGTTGCCAGGTTGTGGCGGCAGTTCTTTTTTCTCATCTTGAGTTACTTCTTTCATCTGTCAACATTGTTCGCGTCTAAACTTTAGTTACTTATATTTTTAGGCATAGTATGTAGAAACATAATCGGCATGGGAACCCTGAATTCGTTTACTTCAGTAAAAAATACTGCACCAAATGATTGAGTAGAGAATGGACGAAAGAAAACTTTATTCATAGAAAACGAGCGGAATTTATAAGAATACAGGAAAAGATGAAAACAAGTTCTTATATGGAAGAATTACACACCTGGAAAGTTTCCGGAAAGGACTCATCTGCATCTTCAATTATAGGCTTGGATCCGTCGGGAACTGATCCTGTCAAAACTCATAAGGTATAAGTTGTACGTCTTTCATTAGACCATCGCTAAATACACACAAGGGTGAAAAATGTTAAGCACGCAGTTAACTAAAATACGCAGAACTGATGTTTGATATTAGTAAGCTCAGGTTCACGTGAGAGATTGGAGAAGTACATTATGTTGGAATTCATGAGAACCAGAGTGTATGATATGGTATTCGATTCACATCAAATATCACTGAACTACTCCGTGTATCAAATATCACCAGATATCATCAATTTCGAGTACTTTTGTACACCAGTTCTTTATCTACTTGAAGCTTTAGTTAAGGTACATTCCTTAAACAAGATTAAGAGAACTAACCGGTACTTGATGCAGGGATGTCCTGCACGGGAGCATTATTAAGCATAAAGCTAGCGGTCCTTGATTCACTATATTCTTTCTCTAACTGTTTGAGATCTTCCTTCATCTGGAAAGAGTAGAAAATAGAACATTATATTCAGAAAAATGTTGAAGAAAACATATTATTCGTTTTTGGCTATGTGAACTCAAACCAGTCTAAATTGATTACCTTGACGGAAGCATCAGAAAATGTGTTTTTCACATCAGACCTTTGTAAGTAGTTGTTCATCCTTGTTGCGGTAATACTCGCTTCATTCTCTGCTTTGGGAGCGCCTTTCTCCATTGTTCTAGAGCTGTGACTTCCAAGATTCCTACCATCATATGTGGGTTTACACAAAACTTCTTGGTTGAACATTTTAACAAAGTCCTTCACCTTACCCTTAACTTTGCTTCTCCCGAGATTATCTCTTGAGTTCTTCGGTGAACCTTGGAAACTTGCTTTAATAACTTCAATTTTAGTCGAGGAACTTCTTTTTCTGTCCTGATGTTTTGCAGTTTTTTCAGTGTCAACATCTGCAGATGATTTTTTGGTGCCTTTAACCATGATTTCCTTTTTACTACTCGTTTTAGTTACCTCATCATTGCCTGCATATGAAAATTTAGGCGTGGTGTCAGCGGTAGTACGTGATAACAGTTGTCTCGCCATGATAGTTAATAATTTAACATACCTTGTTGAAGATCTTCATCAAAAAACAAAGAAGGAACAGGATTTAGAACAGGCTCGTGAACTCGTTCCATAAGCGCAGGAATTTCTTTCTGTCGGTCTTCAGAAGAAGCTGTTTTCAGTAAAGGATGAGGCTCTATATCTTCACTTTTATGGAATGAGATGGTATTACCGGAAACATCTCCAGTAATGTCATGAAGGCTGCTGACGGTTCCTGATTTAGTTACGGGAAGAATTGCTTTCTCAACAGATTGTTGTGGATCGACTTTATCAGGAGTGATTTCATCAAGAAGCAAGTCATTTTCTTGAATGTTTCGTTCCATGGTAGGGGACCTAGCATCGGCGAGTGGATCCTCATTGGAGGGAAAATCAGTAATAGGCAGAGTGGATTTAGGCGATTCCCTCCGCGTACTCTCAGTAGCAGCGCTTTCCTTAGTGCTCGAATCTTCTTCATTTTTGGTTCTTTCCTGCACTCTTGAACCATTCCGTCCCCTAAGAGGTATCACGATTGGCACTCCTTTGCTTGCCCACCTGTAAATTGAGAAATGAAACTGAAACGGACTGCTAGAAGTTGGATTTTCCGAACTCTTTGAATCCTGTTCCGAATTCACTCCTGTGTCTGCTTTATCAGATGTAGCCAAGCTTGAGGACCCCTCACCAACAAGAGAAAAATCTCGGGATGAGGAGCTCTGGCGAGTACTGGATCGAATATCATTTCTCAACTCCTCATCAATTGCTTGGTTCGAAAATCTCGAAAGAGAGCTCGTACGAGCAGCAGAACCAAACGCAGGCAGGTCCACCACCCCTTTGCTAAATCCGTCAGGGAGGCTGAGAGATTTTGAAGCAATTAAGGTAATTAACGCATGATTGATTCAACATGCAATGAACAAAATTAATTCAGTTTTAAAGAAGAAAACATCTAAAACAAAAGATAAACCACGTTATTAGCAGCTTTTCAAACATAATGCATTTCTTCTTCCTCAATATTCTATGGTACCTGAATTGTGCAGGCAGTGAAGAAGCCGCAGAGGGCTCGGGTTTGTGCAGCAGGGGGTGGGCGGGGCTTAGAACCTGGGAACCTGGCGCCGAAGCAAAAGGGTCCCTCTGAAGCCTCCTGGGACTTGAACTGACAGAATGATTGCCTTTAAAGATGTCATCAAAGAAGTCATCGCTCTGCGTCCGTCTTCTATTCACAGACCCTTCCCCAAACACCGGCTTCTCAATCAAACCGGACCAATCATCATCGCCGTCGTCATAAGCATCCCTTTTCAACCCGCTGCTCTCGGTAGTTTCGCTGAAGCTGTACCTCATTTCGTTAGTGGACGGCCGCCTCGGCGGGCCACCAAAAACGTCATGAAAATCAACTTCCGAGTTTTTGGTGGGAGTGTGGGAAGAAGAACCGGAGTTGACGAACGCACTCTGAGGACTGTAGCCCAGAAGAAGGCTCTCCCGCTGCGAAAATCGCTCCATTTCGATCACTAACCAAGCCCCCGCTAACAATTCATCGAAACAAAACTCGCAATGAGAAGACAATTTGAATGAAAATTTGGCGGGCAACTGCTCATGAAATCTTTCTGGTTCAACGAAACAGTTGCAGAGGAAGATTCTCGATTCGGCGAAATCGGAATTGAAAGGGAGAATTCAGGGGACTGGGGGCATCAGGTTGGGAATGTTTCCGTGGGATTTTGAGGCCACACAAAACAGTAGCAAGTAACGCGGAATTTGGATGGGAATGTTTGTGGATAAGTGGAAGAGTCCAAAAGAGTGAGGGGAAGATATTGCCTTATTGGGCAGTTGGGATTTACGATATTGTTATGGTACTTGGTAGGCACCCAAAATCTGTTAATTGCTGTTGCATTTCATGGATTTCATGGTGGGAAAGTTATACACAGATTTCAGAATTTTGTGGCCCTAATATATTTGATTATATCCTTCAAATGCACAGTTAGCACTTTGGGCGATTTCCGGCCATCTATGACCGTCACACTGCCACATGGTATTACTAATCTACATGTAAAAATGGACAACAGTAACACCACGAGGCAATGGTACGGTTTCTCCCGGATCATGAATATTACAGATTTACCCAATGCATTTAGCTCGGGCGGCTGCCCCGTTTCAACAAGGTTGTACATCAAACACAACGTCGAATTCAAAACCCAATCAAGCAAATATGCAGAATTAAAATACTAGCAACGGTTAGTATGCCGCAAAGCAGTCGATGATGACAAACCCTTAAGTTAGATTTCTTGGTATAATATGATACAGAACAAGGGTCATCCCAGGGGATAATCTGTGAAACTCAAAATTACTATCCATACAAAACCAAAACTTGAAAGGAACTCAGGAAAAAAAGAAAAAAGAAAGAAAGAAAGGAAATGCTTCGAATTGGCCTCATCAGGTGCAGTCGATTTATCCTAACCTGTATGGCTGTATCAATTGAAAAACAGAGCATGTGTACGTAGTTTTTGGCTCGTCTGTTGAACCATACTACCATTGAGAACCGTCAGGGAAAGGTTCCAGCGCATCTTGCTTGCCGTTAACATAGAAATCCATAATTGCCTGCATCCTTGGAAGTTTATCCGGGTGGTAATTTACGTGAAGGATTACTGGTTTCAACTTTTTCAAATTAGCGTCTTTCCTGACCGTCTTGAAGAGGACCTTGCTATTCATAAAGAGATAGAAATCCATTGTTCTCTTGGAAGCATAAAGTCCACTATATCCTGGATGTGAAGGGAAAAATAGTTCCTCGTTGAATACTGCTTGGTCCCATGCTTTTTCTGGCCTAGAGAGTCGTTCAGCCACACGATCCAAAAGCTCAATTGCAGGAAGCGTAGGTCTTATGTAAAAGAAACCAGAGTTATAAACCCATATCCTCATTGTGTGAGCATATCGAGCCCACCCCATAGAGGGTTCGTCAAACACATCATTAAATCCATAAGCTGTATGGTTATTGTGACCATCAGTCATGGACTCTACATCAGAATCCCGATAGAGATGATTGAACGGGTTCTGCAAATATACTATATCAACATCCGAGAGAAGAACACTGTAACCTAGTTGCAGAAACTCCCTCAAGATACGAAATTTCAACCCAGATACCGCATGGTTACCTCCCGTCTTCCCAATTGAATCAAAACGCTCATCCGGATCTCTTTTGTATACAGGAACATCATTAGCTTTGCAAAATTCTTCAATTTCGTCATCCAACCCTACAACTAGATAATTGGTTATACCAACTTTCTTGATGCTAGTAAACCATACCTCCAACATGCTTTTCACATTTGAATTCGCAAGTGCAACTATAAGCTCTTTTTGTACTGCTACTTCCTCCAAGATCTTTGCCAACCTCGGATTCACAGATTCATCAGGAACAACTGCCGGGTTAGTTCTCAAGCCCTTAACGGTACCAAAAGGGCCAGCCTTATGTGGTTTACCTAACACAGAAAACTGCTCGTGTGCATGATCCTTTCCTTGTTCAGACAGCCGTAGCTTTTCAGTTAGTTCCTGCACCTCCTTCTTCAGCTCATCATTCTTGTCCGACAATGATGCAATATCTGACCTCAACGCAGTAGCCCGTTCTGTTGATTCACATTGTGATGAGCTAATCTGCAAGCAAAAGTAGCATAGCCAGCCATATGACATCGTTCTCCTATTTAAAATTTTTTTGATATTTACAATCTGTGAGCTTAATGCAAACTAAACATTGTTGCTTTTGAAATAAAAGCACTTCTAGTGCGGAAGTGCTTTCTGCAATCCCAAAGAACACTTCCCAACTGCTTATGGACTAAAATTGATCTGAATCCAATTTCTCAGAAAAATGTAAGCTTTAGATGTAGGTTTAATTATCAGCTTAAACAACTTAGCAAATGCAAACTAGCAAATCAAATCATTAAATGAAGCGATTAAGATATGCAATTAGCGGTAATGCCAAGGCGAACAGGCAATGAGAGAGTAAATTAAGGAAGCGAGATTCGAACCTGAAGATCCGATTTCCCAAATCGGCGGTTTTGGATAGGCGGATAGGAGCTAAGGAATCCGTGAGGAAACAAGAAGGCGAAGACGCAACCCAGTAGGATTCCCAAGACAATGGCGGTCACGATTCGAGATCCACGAAACGACTGTGTCTTGTCCCTCATCAACGACCCCTCTCTACGACCCACCATCATTCCCGCCTTCTTCCCTTTCTCCCGAGTCGTGCGCAGCGGTTGACGAGAAAGAACGGAAATAAACCGATCGTGGATTATTAATCCGCTGGCGGTTGCGGAGGTTGTGGTGGAGTTGCCACTTTCCCTTTCAAAAATGACAGCGGAGCAGCGAGGTTGCTCAGTCTGAGAGACTGAGGAGAGAGAGGCGATCCAGCGGGCAAGGATTCGGTGCTTTGCGTGCAGTGAACTAGAGAATCATCATTGGCTGTCTTGGTTTGGCACATCGGCCATGATTCGCTGTTTTTTTGGTGAAGTTTGACTTTTTTTTGGGGTTGGCAGTTAATGTAGTTTGAGTTTAACCAGGCCTAGTGGGGCTAACAGCCTAACACCTCAAGTCCATTGGAGAAGGTTTCACTTCACATGTAAGGTAAATAATACTTATTATGAATATTTTTCTTCACATGACAATTTATTACTGAACTGAAACATATAACGACGATGAATTCTTTTCATATAAGTTTCTCTTGGTCTTGTGGGCCTAAACACGAAGCCCAGTAGGCCTCACACCTCAAGCCCACTGGGCCTTACCCCAATTGGAACATAGCTAGTACAAAATTAGTCATTCGGCACCATCTCTCTTTTTACACCTCTGATTCAGGATAACGTCATTTACACACTAATTATTTACCATTTATATTCTTCAATTCATTCGACTCAATAGTAGAAAAATTAAAAAGACAGTATTGAAAGAACAATTGAATGTTGAATAGCAGTTTCCTTGATACATTCGATTAAAACGTTTTTTTTCTTCTTAATTTTCCCTTTGATTTATTAATAAAAACTGAAATAAACAACTGTGTGAGGAGCACACGAGAAAAGACAAAAGATGAATATTAATAAAACGAGTAAGTGGAAGAAGAATATAATAAAGTAAAAGTAAACGTCATGACAAAAGTAAATGGAATGGAATTTTATCCATGTGAGCAAAAAGGAAGACGAACAGAGGCAAAACGTGACAAAAGCAAACCACTTTGCTTGTACGTTAGCTTGAACCGCCACAGAAAAAGGGACAAAATGGAAAAAGAAAAGAAGAAACGTAGCATATACAAGAGAGAGAGAGAGAGAGAGAGAGAGAGAGAGAGAGAGAGAGTCCAATTGTATGTGTCATGCGTCATTTGAGCCGGTTACATATGAAACAACAACAGTTATATCATCAAGCTTGCCGCCATAATAACGGAACCCAGCATCTTGAGCGGCTGTGGAGAAAGGCGTCTGCCGGTCTCTATCCTGTGCTCGTTGGCGTGCCAACGCTGCTATCTTCTGTGCTGTCACCTGAGGCCCCAAGCCAGCTCTGATGGCATGAACTACCACTGCGGTTATCTCGTTGTTGTACAAGTTGTCAAACAGGCCATCCGTTCCTGCAATTATAACATCCCCGGGTGCAACAGGAACTGTAAAAACCTGAATCAAACAAAACCATCTCAGCTTGTGATATGCACGACAGTCATTCCAGGTCCCTTGAAACATTAAATGAAATATCAAAAGATCTAGTACACGATACTAATAAACTGCGGTAAAGAAATTTGTGAAACATTGCTCCTGACCTGGCCAGAGCTAGGTAGATCACCGTTGTTTCCGCTCTCCAGTTGATAGGTAAAGTTAAAATCATGCTGTTGCACAGGGGATCTAAAGACGGTGCACCCATCTCGAACCACTATAAACCCACTATCACCTAAATTAACTGCATGAATACCCTGCAGTGAGATAGCAAACAGTTAATACAAGTCCCCAAATAATCAGTATGATAAAATAGCATTATTTTCAAATCCTTGCAATCCAGTTCATATACAAAAACCACTACAAAAAAGAGAGTAATGAAACAGAAATGTCAGAGCCGAGACTTCCAAAGTTATTTTTACTACAAACTTCATCACTTCAGCATGCGACATCTTTAAAAGGCCTCACGAGAAAGATATTTGTTTTTGATACCTAGCATGAACCGTAGTATCACTTTGACAGAGGTAAAAGTTTCTAACTAAACATCCTGCTTAGAATGAAGAGAAGTTCCACACCTGTTCAGTGAGTGCTATGATACATGCTGTTGAGGAACCCCTGGCTTTCGTGCTCGAGTGAGCTTTCTCCAATACCCGAGCAGGGTCAACGGACCCCTTGGGCTCCTCCTGAACAGCAGCTACAGAATTAGACATCAGTTCTCTGGAGTACAATCCAGAATTAACACCGAGATCTGCCCAGCCACCAACACCATCCGCAACCCCTATTGCTTGTTCATTCGCACAAATGAAGTGAGCATCCTCCCCACCAGTTTCCTCTTTGTCAGGATGGGGTAGGTAGTATGATCCAGAAGTTAGTTTTAGGGGCTTTCCATCTGTAACCTTCCTGTAATCATAGCAACATATGTTTAACAAATGCTAAGACTTATGCACTACTTAAAATAAGACATTAAATCAGGGCAAAAACTTTTCCACCACAGAATACTTTATATTCCCATAAGTTAGTATTTACATAATAAAGTACCAACATATGCAGGTTATTATTGAACAAAATATACGAAATTAGCAGAAAACTAATTGTGATTTGTGAACACATATAATAGGTTTAGTGATTTCTCATCAA